GAGGAAAGAAAAAGAAAAACACTCGCGTCTTGATCTGAAAAAAAATTCCAAAAACTTACCAGAATGTATCTGAATAGTCCACAGTAAGCTTGCGTCCCTTTCTTTCTTCATTCCATCCGCGCCGCCTACCCCCGACCACCGCCGCCGCAACAATCGAGCGCATCCCCCCTCCCGAGAATCTCCCCTAAAACTCGTCCGCACCCTCGAATTCTGGAGTCATCTTCATTCCCTTCAGCACTTACGTCGGCTGCTTCAACAGCATATCCTCCTTGCTCAACCAGATCCTCGAGCCTTATGGCTTCAGCGAGACTGAAGCCGGCATCACCGGCGCCCTGCTGATTGTCGTTGGCCTTGTCGCCGCGGCCATAATCTCCCCCATCACAGACCGCTACAAGAACTACCTGCTCCTGACAAAAGTGCTCGTCCCCATCATTGCGGTCTGCTACATCGTCTTCGTCTTCGCGCCGCGCGCCACCAGCATCGCCGGCCCCTACGTCATCGCCTCCCTGCTGGGCGCGTCCAGCTTCGCAGTCCTCCCTATCATCCTCGAGTACACGGTTGAAATTACATACCCAATGTCGCCGGAGGTGACCAGCGCCGTTTGCTGGACAGGCGGCCAACTACTCGGCACGTCATTTATTCTCATTGAGAATGCGCTGAAGGCAGGTGATGATGCGCATCCGCCGAACAATATGAACCGCGCCTTGATTTTTCAGGCTGTGGTGGCGTCTGTTGTGGTGCCTTTGCCGCTCTGTCTGGGGCTGTTTGGACGGAATCCGAGGAGACTGAGGCTTGAGGCGGAGACCGCAGCAGAACAATTACTATTTCAGGCCCGGAGCGCAGGGAAATAATTATTGTGAGATGGTGCTGATGTTTCGGGAGAGGTGAAGAAAATGCCCGCGGCCTAGAGAGGGCTGGATGGGGCAAGGTTTGGTAAATATGTCAGTTTTGATGAATAAAGTCGTTCGTTGCGTGCTGGGTTTATTTATCCCCGCCAATTCCCCGAAAGGCCGGTTTTCAACAGGGTATTGTTTTATTTACTTTTACTTTATTTATTTATTTGTTTATTTTCTTTCTTTTTTATAACAAGTCATATTAATGGGTAAGATACATAGCGGATATGACATATAGGTTAAAATTTCTATATAGTAGCAAATTATCAGTTAGATTTCGATCTAGGGTATATTGATTGCTTGGCTGAAAAAACCGGGGATCCTCTGAAGCGGCAAAAAGCAAAATATTTGCCCCGTAGAGAAAAGACAATCCTGTTTACCCCAAGATCGAGATAGAATACGCTGCGGCCATGACGTATTAATACAAGAGAGAGAGAGAGAGAGAGAGAGAGAGAAAGGCCGAAACCCATTCTAAGCCTCGAGTTCCAGGAAGCGGGAAATTGTGGGGAGAGAAAAAACACATTGAAATTGGAAAGATACAAGATTTGATATGTGATCTAGATAGAAACAGGCCGGGATGAAACGGGGAGGTTTATCTAAATAAAAAATATATTCTTCTGTACATGGATGTAGAACGGTTTTACACAATCAAGGAAACACGGAGGGAAAGAATAATAGTGATACAAGGATGTTTTTTTTTCTTATTTTTTTTCTTTTTCTTTCTTCTTTGTTGTGCGTTGTAGGTAGGTGGGTATGTGTATGATATGATGGTCAAGCAATTAAAGCAAGGTAAAGTGGTCAGTTAGATCCTTTCACTTTTTCCACATTTTGTTTGGGTCTTTTCCCTTCCCCTCTGCTTCCCCCCCCCCCACATCTCTCCTCTCCTCTTTTCGTTTTTTCATTATTGTAATCTGTTTCGTAATGCTCCGAACTGTAGAAACCCTCACCGCGACAGATCTCCGAATATCCGTTTCGCTCCACATCGATTGAGAGTTCACCAGAGTAACTGATCCAGGTACTAGTTGAAACAGGAGAGGGTTGCCGCGGTATCTGAATTGAATTGTGGGGCGCCCGGACGTCCAAGGTAACGATCCCTTATTTGAGGGCCCGGAAGAGCTTGGGCGCGGCGCATTGGGTTGCGCAATGCTGGAGGTGGAAGACTAGAGGTGGATATGAGAAGACCCCATCCCATTAGTAAAACAAATCAAAGGAATGTTGGAATCTCAGTGGGTTTTAGGGGGATGGACCGATCCTCCGTTTGGGTCCAATTCGCAGCGGCCGATTTCATTCGAGAAGTATATAGGTGATTGAATTTCGAAAAATGGAGTGTACATATCGTTGACTGGGCAGGGTGCAAGAACTCCAAATAAGACGGCCATCAGGATACAATGAGAGATTATAACTTACACTCCTCAACGCAGTCCTCGTGGGGACCCTTGAAATCGGGATCTTCGCTGTTTCGGGTAACTCGCTCAACGCATTCATTAAAGTGGTGCTTTGCGGGCGCGCATTTGGAGGAGTTGGCGCATTCTATCAGGTGAAGGGAAATAAAAAGGAATTTGTCAGTTAGCTTTCATATGGTCTGCATCAGTAGCTTCGAATCACTTCTCATCTATCACTGGCTATAGCTTGCTGGCGAACTCCGGTAAATGTCCGGACAGCAGTTCTTCAAGGACTAAATACCCTGCCCCGCCACTGCGCGAGAAATATTGGAGAATTCATCTCAATGAGTCCAGAAATAAAAGTTGAATCACCGCGTTCAACCTCTCTCTTCGAAGATGAAAAAATCCACGAATCAAAAGCGACAAGGAATAGATATCAAAGGGAAAACCACACTCACCCTCCTCCAACTTGGGCTTAATATCTTCAACTTCCTCCTCCTCCGCCTCCTCCTCTTCTTCTTGCTCCTCCTCGGGCTCTTCCTTCTCCGCGTCGTCGACCGGGGCAGCGTCCTCGGCTGGCGGTGCTTCGGCGTGCGCCTCCGCGAAAGGTAGTGAGCTAATTAGATCGGTGAACAGGTCGACTAGCCCCATCTTTGTCTAGGAAAGAGGGCAATTGAGAGCAATTGGAGAGGTTCGTGGGAGGTGGGGTGTGGTGGTCTTTTGAAGCCAGATACAGGTGAAATTCCTCAAGTTTTGAAAGGAAAAGTCGGGATGTGGTCGAACTAGATTGCACGTGATTGGCTGCGGAGGTTTACATAAGCATGAAGGACAAGTTTGGCGCCGGCGGGATATAGTAGCCTTTGTGTCTGTAGTTACATTGCAACGTGAGAAGATAAACCTTGAGTGGGACGTAGGGAAATAATTCAAAAAGTGAAAGTTTTAATGGTATCAAAGTTGCCTCTCGATTCTCTCCACAGGACCAAATAAATATCAATATTCAATGCAGGAACAATCACTTCAATATCAGAAAAGGATTGATTTTATTTCTCTCGGAGTATATGCAATGTATCGATCGCTTCTTGCGCACTCAAGCCAGCTTATAATATCTCAAATAGGAGGATCCTTGTACTGTCGCATCCGTCATCTTAATAGAAAATTGTTCATATAATCTTTACATGCGAAACTAGCAGGAAAAGATATGTACTCCGTAGTAATTGATCAATTAGAGCTAGTTGCAGTAATAAACAGTGCAAACACTAAACTACTTTGGAGCTAGTGTAAGAAGTCTCAAAAGTTTCAAACTTCTTGCGCAGCACTGTATGGGCATGCTCAGTGTATATTGCTTAACTATGAGAGCTGGCTTTTTGTGTCATGTGAATTTTGAAAGATCAAGCGAGGTTCAGGAATACCATTTGGCAGTCGGTTGATCCTGTCTGGATGTCATGAATACCTTCGACAACTATATATCCATAACCCTAATCCACTGTGAGACAAGGAATGCTCACCAAACGGGCTTTGCGGACAACTGACCCGTACAGACGGGTTCTCTCACGAGGATTTTCAGTCTTAAATCGGCCATCACCCAACTATCCAGGCCATGTCCCACTAACCACTCTTGAGCGTGGAGCTCTTGCAGTCGGGTCTGCAATTGGATCATTGATAAACCCAAGACGAGCAGGTATGCTTTCTTTATATATCTCAACAAATTGGATCACCTTATAAAAATTGCACATAAATTTCCAAAATATTCTAACAATCTCACTAATCAATTGCAATAGATCTCATTGCAGCCCTGGGTGAGGCTACTGCAACTCCCTACTTCATCTACCGCCTCCGTGATGTTATGCTTTCTGATCCCACGGGCCGTCGCATCCTCCGCAACAAGCCATCCATAAATTCTAAAACTCTCTCTGTTGAATACCTTCGCAGCCTATCCCCCAACACTGTTGGACGAACCTATGTGGACTGGCTAGATCGAGAAGGCGTCGGCCCTGATACTCGCGCAAAGGTGCAGTATATTGATGACAAGGAGTGTGCATATGTGATGCAGCGCTATCGAGAATGCCATGATTTCTACCATGCCATCACTGGTTTACCAGTTGTGGCAGAGGGGGAGATTGCTCTGAAGACATTTGAATTTGCAAATACATTGTTGCCTATGACAGGGTTGAGTATGTTTGCTGTGATGAGGTTGAAACCTGAGGAGAAGGAGCGGTTTTGGAAGTTGCATTTGCCCTGGGCAGTTAGAAATGGGCTGGCGAGCAAGGCTGTTATCAATGTTTATTGGGAAGAGCAGTTGGAAAGGGATGTTGATGAGCTGAGAAAGGAGTTGGGGATTGAGAAACCAGTGGATTTGAGAGAAATTAGGAAGATTATGAGGAGGCAGAAGAAGATGGCTGAAGAGGCAGCTAAGACAAAGAAGAGATATTGATCAATTTGATTGTTTGTACTGTACAATATAAAAAGATACACAGTATTGGAAGGGGGGATTTTGCTAGTTATATTCAGCTCTTTCATATTTATGGGGATATTATGAGCCACCATGTAGAAAAGTAATACTGGCTACTCTGTTTCAATAAATATTCTTTCATTCTGGGGATCATTTCAGCTTGCTAGCCGTTAGTTTTCATTGCAGCGTAGTTTATCATAAACAGACAGATATTACATAGTATATAGCCATGTGCAAAATAGCCGGATATACAGGTCAGCCTGTATAGACCAGTTGACAGCTTTTTCGGCCCGGGTGAAAAAGGAAAGGACGAAAAGAAAAAAGAGAATTCGTTCCTTCTATCATACGGATTTAAGAATGTAACAATGAGAGAATATATACGTTCTCCTTCGCATCTTCATCACTGGTTTTTCCGTAGACACGTTTCAAGTGCGTTCGCAACGCTCTGTTGTTGAACCTCTTCGTATCCAGGAGGCGGTTCTGTAGGGTTTGTATCGGCAGGATTACTCTCCGTAGAGTAGGTATTATTACTGACTTCGTTGGAAATTTGTTGATTGCGATCATGAGGATCCACCGGCGAGAACGCTGGTGATGATGTAGTTTCAGTCTGCTGGGCGGGTGCTTCGTAGGCGGGTAGCTCGTCAAGATGTATGAGGGAGAGATCCACGGGGCTTCTCATGCTGCCGTTTTCTTGTGATTGCTCCAGGGCCTGTTGCAACCGTTCTTTGATCCTCTCGAAGCCGGAGTGGAAATCAAAGGCCCCGCCATCCTTGAATGTTAGTTTTAACTGGAGGTACGCATGGGAAGGAGGAATGCCGCCGCCAGCAACGGGCTTGACCTGCGCGGTCCAGATGTTGGGGCCAAAAAAAGGAGCCGAAACATGTGTGTCTTGCAGATTTAGGAGAGGGGCGGAGAATGATTGGAACTGTGGGGTGGAGTTTGTGGGAAGATAGACAACCTGGGAGCCTGGGTTAGGAAGCAAAGTCATGTAAGAGCAATGCGAAGGGCGACACACTCGTTGGTTGGTAAGATAGACACACCCGGTGCTACTTTGGATTGATAGAGGTTCGATTCCCGGTCTAGGGTTCCCGCTTTGCAGCAGAAGGCTTGTTCGGGTTGGAGAGGTATACATGATTCGTTCATTTGGAAGGCCGACGAATCCTTCCGTCTCATGGAGCATGACCCAACTGCTTGGCCGGAGCCTGCTTAGCATTGTTTTCTTTTGAGATTTAGAGGGCATGGTCGATTCTTTTAGAAATATCCCATATGATGCTGGGGGTCACAGTATATAGGGAAAAACAGCGAGTACAGTGGAGGGCGACGCATATGGCGGGGTATATGGGGAAACGGAACGGGTCGAACAGAGCGAAGGGTAACAACGTATATTCTAGTCATCAGTCATCAAAAGGGGAATACATACTTTATAGACATTTTGTCCAAGAGTAACCCGCGCTGGGGATCTATTCAAGACTCTGGTGGCTTGAGGTTGGCGATAAGAACCTCCGAGAGACCTGGTTCCTTGTCTCAAGTAAAATTAGCAAACCATAAGGGTCCAGGTAACCACCAATAGCCGGAGTGAACTGGAACCAGGAATATAGCTAACGGGCGTGGGGTTAGTATGGGGCAAGATTTTTTCAGAAAAAAAATTAATTTTTAATTAACTGCTGGCGATATACTCCATTTCTCGCGAGAGAGAAACTAGTAGCATGACGGATGCGGGTGCTGAAACACGAATCACCACTCGAGAAGTCTGGAGAAAGAGAGGAGACAAATTATATACCTCTTGCAACTCCCTGCAACACCCGAAGTTAAAGTCTATTTGTGAAGGAGATACATTCGCTCTCGATGGACGAGCCGGGAGGTCTTTCGTTTCGGAGTCTCATGCAGAAAAAACGGCGCGTAGATCGCTAACTCGAGGAGGGAGCAGAGCGATTAGCCAAAGGGCCAAACTGCTAGGGTCGTATCCGTCGCTTGCGGCGGTTCAGCCTTAAATGGGTAACTAGCAACGGCGCGGGACAGCAAACGGGCAATCAGAACTTCAGAAGCCGAGACTCGATGCGAACCTTTTGTGCAGGGGATAAATGAAGATAAAAAGCATGTCGGAGGGCGGCCGAGTGCATGGTTGTTATTTACAGCGTAACTATCAATCTAGAGAACGCATTAACTAATGGGTACACCGTGTCTTGCAGGAACATCCCATCCGTTGGTGATTTTACACTTCGGTGGACCGTTTCATTACATTCCCTGCTGATTCCCTCCAACCCTAACAACGAATTCAATTGTTTAATAGTAAATATCAGCCTGGAAGAATTCGTGGTTGTACGACGTTGGCAACACGAGCTCCGCGAATTCTGCCCTCAAATTCTCCCAACCACTGAATGCGCCAACATATCAATGGCCTTCTACCCAAGTCGCAATCCATTATTGATCATCTCGAAGGCGGTTGGGATTGGGATGAGAAAATGTAGATCGCATCTATCGTCGGATACTTGGCTCCTCAACTACATAGCCCAATGATACAGCGCAGTCCCCAGATTCTCCGTCGAACACACCACCAGCATTGTGGGGCCAGTTTTGGGGGGGGGCGGGGGGAATAGAAGAACCCCTTCTTGTGGTTGACGAGATATTTTCTAGGCTCGATTATTGCGCCAACAGGGACAACTGATGCCTAATAAGCACCTGGATGCATTCAATTTTGGCGGCTGGGAGCAACATTGAACCCTGGACTCAACGGATGATCACGAGAGCGTCTTGGAGCTGTCTGGGTGGTGCTGAGTGTATCGCTTTCGCACAAGCCATCGTAGATTAAGCTGGGGTTCGTTGCATTGAATACAGAGTAGAAATAGGAATATTGATATCAATTCTGCCACAAGCCTTCTCTGTTTCCTTTTTAAATTGTCACAAATACGTTGAATAAATTTATGGGCATGTAGATGTATTTGCCTGCGATGAGGGGAAGTTAGGTTGCCCTCTACTCTGTCTTCTTCTCCTGCCAGACTGTGGCCTTGTTGGGCTCGAAAAATATAAAGAAAGAAAGAGGAAACGAGCAGAAATAGATTATGATGCCTGCCCAGGGACAGACACGCGACTCGTATGACTCCACTGGAGGATGCTGCGCGCCTTGGTTTCAGCCTCATCAACTCTATCCTGCATTGGTTTTGCTCTGTTGCGTCCGAGCCTTGCATGGAGACTGTCAGCGCGATCAACTGACACTCAGGCCCCCACTTTCACCTCCAGATTCTTTGTTGCCTGTGAGGCGGCGGTCCCATGGAAGCCCTGGCGTCGAGGAGTCCTGGCGTCCAAACGTCATCCCCTGACTCCTCCTTGCCGTAGTCTCATCTTGGCTGTTGAATCCACTGTTAGGCTCAAGAGGCTTCATGGGGGGACAATTGAAATATCCCCCCGATCACCCCCAGAACGATCCTCCATGTTTTCTTTGGCTTTCACAGTTGAAGAATTTTCAGAGTCAATTCCGCTGGTTGTTCTGCGCAAGAACCATTTGCTGCGAACGATGGCTTACAGGCTTCTTTAGCTTCCGATAGCGACTTGTGCTAACAAGGCACACCCAGGGGCCCAGGGTAGAGGAGCTTGGGAGCCGTCGCCATTCGTTTCAACCACTGGATTTCCGGTTGACACATAGCACTCGTTGACAGCAAGGATTCTAGAAGCCATTTTTACACATGAAGAGACCGGGGTGTGGAGCGATGACCCTCGATGTGCCAGAGAAGCAATGCTAACCGTGGCGCAATAGCTTTGTCTGCTCTAATCCATTGCATTCTCTATCATGGACAATTCCAACTCGCGCCCAGAAACTCCGGTACCTCAAAGAAACACGCAGCAAGGGGCAGTAGCTGGAACACCACGCTTTGGGAGGGGCTACAGCTCTACTGCTATTGCTCCCGGAGGCCCATTCTCAGAACAGGCTACAGAAACATCCATTCATGTGGCTAGAATGCCAACGACCCTGGGAGTGCGACCTAGTCGAGCTTCCAGCATCATATCGACAATGACAACTTCTACAATCGCTACATTACAGGATGATGATCGAAGCACTCGAAGCGCTCGAAGCATTGATCTTATGCTAGGCGGAAGGCTATTCCATATCAATCGGGACGGCTCGAAGATATCCAGCTCTTCAGATAACGACTTGCCTCCGTATTCTCCTTCCCTCCCAACTTACGCGCAATCCAGCAATCAAACTGATGCTAGTTTTCTCAACGGCGCGCAACCACCTGAACCGACTACCCCCACAGCACGTTCACCTTCCTCGCAACCTACCCCAGTACCGAAAAGCCGTATATATATTCCCTTTTGGACTGACAGGTCCCGCCATAGACGGCAATCATCAGACATATCACAGAGCGACGCCAAATCATCCCTTGGACGACTGAGCTCGAACTCGATGTTTGACCTATCAAACTTACCAAGTGCAAGCCTGTCCAACCGGGATTCACAAACAATGGATGACCATGTCGTTTACCGCAGCCCATCATTTGTTCCGGGGCCGGAAAAGATATCAGTCATTCCTAAAGGGCGCTCCGCCTCGCAGGGCAACATACCAGAGAGTGTACATTCTCGCCATGACAACGAAGACCCATACCGTCGCCTTCGGCGCAGGAACGGCGTTCGACTTCCTAGACTCTTCACCAGTTTAACTAATATCAAATTTAGCGGGCCGCCAGACGAATCTCCTTCGCCCGGAGGCGATATCACACAATCGGCAGGTCCCAGCTTCGCCACATGCCAGAAAAAATACTCACAATCACCAGTATATACGGCATGTAGTTCAGGTGGGAATCCTGCTCCTTCATATCCAACACACCTGTCACCAGATGACGGGTTCCATCAACGGAGGCCATCGCTCCCAAATATCCCAATGCTCTCTCTAGCCGTCCCACAGAGTCCCGCAAGAATAGAAGAGGGCCATGTAGGCATAGACCCCCCACCTCCAATGGAAGATGAAAATGACGTTAGCATCCACTACACCCGTCTGATCCGCAGCATTGACCGTGACCATCGCAAGGCGCTCCATGTGCGCGATAGGGAGCTAGCTGGAATGCGAGAGCGTCTGAACAAGATCGATCAGGTATATCGCCAGGAGCTGAAGTCGCGGGACTTCACCATTGACGATATGCGGAAACGGCTCGAGAATCTGCAGGAGCAGATGAACAGCTATATCGAGCGGGCGAAGAACGAAATGGAGGATATGTGGGAAACTAGGTGGAAGGATCGCGATCGCCACCTTATGGAGCGCATGCGCAGGATTGAGCTTGAGAGCCAGATACAGGTGGAGAAGGCGGTTGCTGAACGTGATAAGGAGTGGGTAGCTGAGTGGGAGAAGAGGAATGAAGGGCTTCTGGAGAGGTTGAGGGCAAATGAGGACAGCGTTGCTAACCAGCATTCTTGAGCGGGTTTTCCTTTTTCTTTCTTTTTTCTTTTTTCTTTTTTCTTTTTCTTTAAGAGGGGGGGGGATTGTTTACTCATGGTCGTTATCGTGAATGGGCCAATTGGGGAGACGTGGGATATATAATTCTATGAATTGTATGAACGGATGTGTCTATATTGGTAATAATTCTAATATATTATTATTATAACCCGACTTTTATAAAAGAGGGCAAAAACTGTATTCATCCACACTCATAAGTTCATGCGGAGGGCTTTTGTGAGAGGGGAGAGGGGAAGGGGAGAATAAGACCGGACGGATTTTCAGTAACGATATTAATTAATATCTACACTATTGAGGGAGGTGGATTTACAGTCCACTTGTCGGCCCATGCATGAGCCATGAGAAACCATATGTTTGTAAGACAGAAGTTCTGCAATCCGAGACCTTTCATCTTCTTGTTTTCCCGCACAATGGTAGCTACAAGTAGAAAATTAGGAAGTTTGCGGGCCCCGGAGAACAATTGCAATTTTATTTAACTTCCGCTTGCCCCAAAATGAGGACATGGTGATATCACTGACATGGCAGCAAGCCAATAACCCTGCACTTACTTTAAGCAGGAAACACCTCAAATAGCCTATCTCCAGAGCTTTGTTCCAGTGAAATCAAGCAAAAGTTGTGCCTTGTAACCTTTTTTTAGCGTGCGGGCCCGGTTAGCCGCTTTTCAGTCTACACTTTTTTATCCGCGATTTTCAATGAACTCGAACTTGAACAAAAACAACCCCACCAAGCCACCTTGCCATTGTTAGATGAATGGGATCTGATGGCTTTCGCACTTCTTGTCCCAGCTCTCGAGCTCCATATATAGATACTGACTCCCTGCGATCGACAGATCCGTACAAGAATTATGCCACCTGGGGGACTCGGTGTCCAGATCAAGATCGCAGCTTACATCTAGGCTTGAATTCCTTTCACTTTAACTCACATTTTCTTCTTGAGTGCTGGGAGTGATTGTCTACATTTATACCGGCCCCTTTTTTGTTCGCCGCAGTTGTCTTTCCTCCTGCCAGTCCTACGATCCCTCCATCTTCCCTACTGATCGAATACCCCTCCGACGAACCTTTCACTACCACGCACACGAAAGTAAATAGTTATACGTATATATTTATATATGCAATCAAGTTTGCTACAATTTGCGCTGAGATAAATACATCCTTGCTTCCTGGTCGCTTCTGTTTTACAGACATAGCGGAAGAGACCGGAACAAGCACATTGAGGGATGGCTCGGAAGACCCTTAACCACCAAATAGGGTGGTTATATGATTTGGTACTATGGTGGTTAGCCGTGCTTATCGATCTGTTTTTCAGAGAAGTCCACCCTCGCGGATCATGGAAAGTCCCCAAACGTGGGCCTATAATCCTCGTTGCTGCCCCGCATGCGAACCAGGTACGTCCAACGCTGCTCCAACAAAATGCCCGATATGTTTGGGAAAATATCCAGAGATAATATAATACACTTTGCTAATGGAAATGCGATTTTTACTTTGACTTGATGCAGTTTGTGGACTCGTTGATTTTGATGCGCGTGGCCCGGAGAGAACTCAACCGTCGCATAGCCTTCCTTATTGCCGAAAAATCATTCAAACGGAGATTCGTCGGGCTGCTGGCAAAAGCCGCGGGTGCGCTGCCCGTAGCTAGGGCCATGGATAATATGAAACCGGGCAAGGGGACGATATACCTGCCAGACCCGGTTAACAACCCCACGCTGCTAAGGGGCATTGGCACGAAGTTTGACGGGCCAGGATTTGAACCTGGCGGCACGATTGCCCTCCCGACAATAAATGGCGAGGCCCATTCGACCGACATCGCGGAGATTCGCGGGCCAGAAGAGATTCTTCTGAAGAAACCATTCATGCACAAGGATGCGTTGTACCAGCTCACTGGGCGGGTTGATATCACTGATGACTTGAAGTTTACCGGCAGTGCTGCACAGCAGGATCTGTCAGGCTTCGAAGGTTCCAAGTTTAAAGTTGCTCCGCACGTCGATCAGACGATGGTGTATGAGGCAGTTTTTCAGACTCTCAATGCTGGAGGATGTATTGGCATCTTTCCCGAGGGCGGTAGCCATGACAGGCCTAACTTACTTCCATTGAAAGGTATATATAATACGTTCAATATTTTTAATAGGCCTCTCTTTTCTTTTCTTATTTTCATTCCCTTTATGCGGATGTTGAACTGATGGATCTTTGTAGCTGGAGTTGCCTTAATGGCGCTTGGGGCCCTTGCCAAGAACCCCAACTGCGGCGTGAAAATCGTCCCGTGTGGTATGAACTATTTCCATGCACACAAGTTCCGATCCCGGGCGGTGGTGGAATTCGGAAACCCAATCGAAGTGCCGCCGGAACTTGTTGAAATGTACAAGGCAGGCAATCGACGAGAAGCCGTGGGAACGCTCTTGAGCACTATTTACCAGGCCTTGGTAGCGGTGACCGTTGTTGGCCCTGACTACGAAACCCTCATGGTTCGTTCCCGTGATTTTCCTTGCCCTTAAAATAAAAGAGGGAGAGTTTGCGGTTTTTACTGACGGACCTGAAGTTGATACACGCGGCAAGGCGGTTATACAACCCAGCGGGCAAGAAGCTTCCGCTCCCCATGGTCGTAGAACTGAACCGTCGCCTAGTGAAGGGCTATTCCCATTACAAAGACGATCCTAGAATTGTGAACTTGAAAAAGTCCGTCATGGCCTATAATAAACAACTGTGGTTGCTTGGCATACGAGACCATCAAGTAGAATATGCCAAGTTCTCAATCTTCAAGGTGGTTTGGACTTTGATAACCCGCCTTGGAAAACTCGTCATTATGTCCATTGGCACTTTGCCAGGCCTCGTACTCTTCGCACCAGTGTTCGTTGCTACCAAAGTAATTTCGATCAAGAAATCCAGGGAAGCATTGGCGGCATCCAGTGTGAAGATTCAAGGTCGCGATGTAATGGCTACATGGAAACTGCTTGTCGCATTAGCCTTTGCACCTCTCCTTTATGCATTCTACACCATCCTCCTCACATACTGGACATATCGAAATCGTGTCCAGGGATATGTCCCCCAATGGGTGCCTCTCTGGCTAGTGGTGATATTCGGCTGCTGGATATTTCCCTCGATCACCTTTGCGGCATTGCGAATTGGCGAGATCGGCATGGACATCCTGAAATCTATGCGGCCGCTCGTCTTGTCCCTCAACCCCACCTCTGCCAACACCCTCGTCAAACTCCGACACCGAAGAGCCAAGCTCTCACAGGAAGTAACGGAGGTTATCAACACCCTCGGTCCGGAGATGTTTCCCGACTTCGACTCTTCAAGGGTCATCATGGACCCTTTCAAGGAATCGCTGTTCATGGGCCGCGAGGCGCCACTATCAAGGAAAGAAAACCAACCCGTCACGACGGCAGAGCGGGAGGGCGCCACGCGGACAACCAAAGGCGAGGCAACGACCTTCGTACCCAGCCACCTACCCCGCAACGAATCGTTCCACGACCTCAGCAACATTGGATTTTTCTCCACGCGACCTTCTAGCCGGAGCCGGAGCCGGAGCAGCTCCAGCGGTGGCTTGGCTGGGTCGGGCGGCATGCCGCTAAAGGCGTTCAGCACCTTGAACTCGCAGGAGAGTTTTGACGAAGTGAGCAAGCGGATCCGTGGGGCGATGAAGGAACGGGGCCGATTGAGGAGGAAGCAGAGTGAGGAGTTTGGGTGGGAGATGGCTAGTTCTGCTGGTTCTGAGAGTCCGCGCAGCGAGCTTGGGAAGAAGGATTTGTGATTTGTGAGGTTTGTTTGTTTGTTTTCTCTTTTCATTTTTTTCCTCCACAATTTTGTGATTACGTGGAATTCGAAATGTGTGATATTCTGGAATGTGGAAGGCAGGATGTGTATGGAACTCGATTTTGTTGCATGGAATTATATTTCCCATGGTCAGATCTATGATGGGGTGGGAATGAAAACCGCTTGATGAGCACTGCGAACTCATTCCTTTAAGTTGGCACGGACGGGGATCGTTGCAGACCGCAGTTGAATGATGAATCGGTCCACGGTTTTTCTTTCTACATTCGCGGGTATGCAACCACGGCTTCTGGGATTGACCAGGCGAAGCGCCGAGGTATTACTATGATTTATGAGTGTGCTTCCGTTGCTGCTAATCGTCTCTTTTCAACTCTGTCTGCTTCTCTTGTCCTTTTCTTTTCCTTTCCCTTTTCCATCTCATCTCATTTTTTCATTTTTTTCATTTCTTTTTGGGATAACATTTTCTTCTACTACTTTTTCTCTTTTATTCTTCCTTTTTTACCCGGGGGAGCTCTCGCCATTCTTAATTAAGGTAGTGATATTTTTCTTCTTTCCTCTTTGTACTCCCTTTGTCGGTTTAACTTCGACAATCAGGCGTTGGCGTGGTGGCGTTTCTCAATGTCTTGTCTCAAAAGCGTGGTCTCTAATCGGGGGACGAAGAAAGGAGGAGCACATTTCGTCATGTATTGTTTCACGAAATCCATGTGATATCATCTTATATTGGCATATCGCATACACACATAGTGATGTCACCAATCTATCCATCTATCCATCTTATCCATCTCTCCATCCATGCCTAGGTAACTTATCTGCCCAGTCCTTGGTCCAACCATCGATCGCCGTTTGCTGATTTGCCAACCGTCGCCCGAGCCAGCCCGATGACGTCGGCCCCCCAGCCACACTCCGGGCGTTCAGGGACGCCGGCTGTGGCTCGACGCGGTGTGGAAAATTTACTCGTTCTGGTCCCAACAACGTCCAGTTAGGATAATCATTGTTTAACTAACTAGTTATTACTACTTATTACGTATCTCTGCTGTGTTGCGAATATGTTGGTGGCAGGGAGTTGATCTCTCTTGTTTTTATTCTCCTCTATTTGTCGTGTGTGTTATCTTTTATTCTTATTTTTTTAAATTTAATTTTTTTTTCCCCTTGCTCCCTTACACTGCCCTAGCTTTAGGGCCAGAAGTTGTGCTGGTGTCCTCTCAGCTCTTCTGCTCCAGCGACGTCTGTCCATTTTACCCTCCTCCGCTGGCTCCGCAGCCTTCTCCTCGTTCTTTTTTTTTTCTCTCTCTTTTTTGGGGTATTTCCAAGGAGGATTTCGGTTTCATATTTGACCTTGGGTTTTGTATAATACGACTCGTCTGTCGTCCA